GTAAGGCAGAGCCTGGCTTGGGAGGACACCCGCCGGCCACGGGCACTGAGTCCTGTTTTTCATGCCTGTGAAATGGGTTTGTGCTGGGACAGGGTGAAAACACAGTGTAGAGGGACAGCAGCTAACCAAGCTGTGAGCTGGTGACCCAAACACTGCGCTTGCTGGGACCGCAGGTGCCCAGATGTTTGGCTGAACACGGCTTCTAGGTGTGTTTAGGAAGCTAGCACTTGAATGGGTACCTGGGTGAGGCCAAAGCCCTCCTTGGGGTGCATGGGCCCAGGGACAGCTGAGCAGGAATGCACAGTCTGCTTCTTCCTGCTAGATTGCTGGTCTTTTTTTGCACTCACACTCAACTCTCAGACTGGAACTTACACCACAGTTCTCTTAGGGCCTTTTGTTTTCCTTTCTCCATGATCTGGAGAGCCAGTTTTCTCTCTCTCTCTCTCTCCCACCACCTCCCCCCTCCCCCGTGTGTGTGTGTGTGTGTGTGTGTGTGTGTGTGTGTGTTACCAGGCTTGATCCCAGAGACTTTCATGCACTTGGCAAGTGCGCTGCTATGGACCGATATCCCCAGGCCTCGGTATTTTGAAAGATATATATATAGCCCCAGTTCCTGCCTCCACTTTCTTAATGCTGGGATTACAGCATGTGCCATCATGCCAGTAATTTCTACTAAAGATATCTCTGTGTTTATGTACGTGACTCTCGATATCCCTGACTAACTCAGGCCCTCCTTTTCCCTCTACCTTCCTTCGAAGTCCCCAGTACCTTCCAAAGGCCAGGCTTATGACTGATGTCTTCCAAACACTTCCCTCCTCTGCCTCTGGTCCCATGGTTGGGGACAGTCTTAGGTCAGATGATCCTGAAACAGACTGAAAAATTTATTAAAGAGCTGAAAAGAGCCAGACAGTGGTAGCACATGCCTTTAATCCCAGCACTCAGAAGGCAGAGGTAGGCAAATCTCTGTGAGTTCGAGGCCATCCTGGTCTACAAAGCAAGTTCCATGACAGCCAGGGCTACATAGAGAAATCCTGTCTTGAGAAAAAAGAAAGAAGGAAGGAAAGGAAGAAAAAGAAAGAAAGAAAGAAAGAAAGAAAGAAAGAAAGAAAGAAAGAGAAAGGAAGGAAGGAAGGAAGGAAGGAAGGAAGGAAGGAAGGAAGGAAGAAAGAAAGAAAGAAAGAAAGAAAGAAAGAAAGAAAGAAAAGGGAAGGGAAGGGAAAGGAAAGGAGAAGCTGAAAGGGAAAAGACAGCAGAATCGGGAAGCAGCATCAGCAAAGAGGAACCATGCCAGGCAAGGGTGTGGCAACCAACAAAACACCAGGAAGGGTGGCTTTGTCCTTATGACTCAGAGAAGCCTGGGCACATAGAGATGCTATCATCAGAGGTAAGAAGGCTGAGGCACTTACCCTGCCACCCTTCCAACCACAAGGGACATTCCTGTCCCTGGCTACCCTCCCAACCACAGGGGACATGCCTGTCCCTGCTACCCTCCCAACCATAGGGGACAGGCCTGTCCCTGCGAGCCTCTCAACCACAGGGGACATGCCTGTCCGTGCGTTGCCCACTCTGTTTGGGTGCAGGCAGAGTAGTTTTGATGATACGAGCCATCCTCCTGCAAAGATACACGTGCTGACTAATGAGAGTGTAGGTGCAGAGATGGGCAAAGACAGTGGACATGAGGAGGGGCTTGGGCAGGTCGACAATAAGCTGAGGTGTAGGTCAGGAGAGCAGGGGAGGGCATGCTGGGAGGTATTGCTTTTGAGTGACCCACTCCAAACACACCTCTTTTAAGTATGCGGTCCCCTCAAGAAAAATAGGCTCCCTAGAGCTGTGACCGGTTATCCCATCCCACCCCTGCCAGTTTGCAGTCCCAAACTATTTTTGTCTTCCTCTAGTAACAATAGACCCATTGTGCATACTTCCTGACTAATCCCCAGGGTGGCCAGAGGAGGGAGGGGCAGGCCCAGGGATTGAGGGCTGAACCTGGGCCAAGAATTAAGGTTGAGCCACTGAACCAAACCAGGGGTGGGAAAGACTATGACTCCCACGCCAGCCACGGTGCCCTTAGCCCATCCAGCGACTGCCAGGGTTCTGCTCTACAAAGCACACAGAGGCTCCTGGAGAGCACTCAGACAGCAGGTGCTCCCTGCCACCACTGGGTACCACCTTCCATTTCTTTACATGCCAAGCCTGTGCCCTGGGTGCCCTTGAGGCAACTACCAGGAACTTGCTTATTCTGATGAGGAAAACTGATCCCGGTATCTATAGCAGGGAACAGCGGTAAGAGACAGATACCCTGCTCAGAGCCAGACCTGTGAAGCCCTGCCCCCGAAGGTCCTTCTGCTCCTCTGAGACCTTGTGCCCTGGGGTCTACACTGGAATTGATAAGAGATGGTGGCACCAGTGTGGGACGGGGAGGGCCGCTGGACAAGCTATGCATGTGCTCTGGCGCCAGCCAAACAGGCACACCCTGAATGAGACATTTGGAGAAATGACCTATCTTGAAAAAAAAATCTCTGAAGAGTCATAACGGAAAAACTGAACACTATAAGGTTTCTTTCATCTTACTTGTGGCTCAGGCCTAGCTTTGTTTTCATTTCCTTATGGTCACTAGGTGTTCCTTATTTGCTTCCAGGTTTACAGCCCTGCCCAGCTATGGCTCACAGGAGGGCTCCATGGAGGGGCTGCTACTGCTGGCCAGGCCCACCCTTTTCAACTCAGCAAAGATGAGTTGCAAGCCTTCCACCAGCTGGCCCTGTGCATCTTAGGAAGTAGTAAACATGTATCCTTCCAACTTGTTCTTGGAGGCGATCACATCTACAGACAAACTTTGTGAACTGTAAAATGCTGAGAACTTCTGATCAATGAAGCTGAGTGTCTTGCCAGGATAGCCGGACGTTCAGGGATGGCAGTACTGCTCAGTGGTCACCTTCCTTCCCAAGTGTGAGATGGCCTACTTCTGAGGACAGTGCCTTCAACACATGAGCCTCCTTGGGAGACACTTTATGATCAAAGCCCACCATTGAGATTATTAGGACACAGCCTGGCATGTCATTTGTGTGAAGCAGTTGTGGGTGGGTGAGGGGCGTGCAACGTGAGTGGAAGTCAAAGGACAGCCTGTGGTGTTGCTCCTTGGAAGCTGTCCATCTTGTTTTTTGAGACAGGCTCTCTTCATTGACCTGGAGCTCCCCAGTTCAGCTAGGCTGCCTGGCCAGTGAAGCCCAAAGAGCCCCCTGTCTCCACCTCCCCAGTGCTAGGATTAAAGGGGTGCTCTTCTACATGGTGCTGTGGCTCACTCAGGCCCCCACACTTACAAAGGAATCACTTTACCACGAGTACCTCCCCAAGCTGCCCGACACATGACTCTCCCTTATGCCGTATCACCTTTCCTGCCCTGCTTCCTCCTGTTTGCCTTCCGTGCTTATTATGCCGACTCTACCGGAGACAGGTATAAAGAAGACATCTCACCTGCCCTTAGGAGTTCAAGGAAAGCAGAAAATGAGCCAATTCTGGACTCTGCAGACAGGGGACTCCTCAGCCCTGCTCCGCTGGCCAAGGGCTTCTCCAGGTGAGGATGGTGCCTGGGTCAGCTAAGGAACCTGTGCTTCAAGACTTACTCCAAGGTCTTCTACTTAATTCTGTATTTAAGTTTGGTATTTTCCTTTCCTTTTTTTTTCGAACGGGAAGTAGGGGGCTCATAATATATAGAGCCCTAACTGGCCTGTAATTTACCATGTAGACTAACTAGGTTGCCCTCAAACTCAGAGAAACTTTCCTCCTGAGAGTATAGGGTTACAGATGCAACCCACCATGCCCAGGTTACCTAAGCTTCAGACTCCTCCAACCACAAGGTACCCAGCAGCCTTCTAGAAGATCTGACCTGCCTTTCTGGAAGATTTCTACCCAGGTTGCTGTCATCCGTAACCTACCTGTTCCCAGCACCCACAGGGGTCTGCTGAGTCGGCCATGGCTCCAGCAGGTAGGGGCATCTCCAGTGCATAGGCTTTGCTCCCTACCTGAGTGGGGCTGGGTGATCCTAGAAAGCCTGTGAGCCTCTGAGGCTCGACTTAGAGCTTAGTAAAGTGCTTGCTGCAGACCCAAGTTTGATCCCCAGAATCCAAGTAGCAAGCCAGACATGTTGGTCCACACTTGTAATTTTAGCACTAAGGGTTAGAGACAAATGGATCCCTGGGGCCCCTAGCCAGCCGACCTAGCATAATCAGTAATCCCCAGGTCCTGGTAAGAAGGTCTCTCTCAAAAAAGCAGGGTGAATGGCACCCAAGAAAGAAAACCACCCAAGATGGTCCTCTGGCTTCCATACAGACACAGACCTACATACACATGTAAAGGAACTGGTCACAAGTACACACAGACATGAGCACTACATAAACAAAAACATGCATACTCACATACACCACACGTAAAGGATCATGCATGCATACACATATGTGTACCACATGCATGGGAACATACATGTACACACATATATACATGTGCACCATGTGTGCAGTAATGTGCATGCATACATGTGCACATATGTATGCCGCATGTACAGAAACATGCATGTGTGCACATATATACATACTCCGTATGCACAGGAACATACACACACATATACAATGTGTACCATATGTGCAGCAGCATACATGTATGCACATGTACATAAACACCCACTACTGAGAAAAGAAAAGCTCTTAGGGCAAAATGAAAACTAATAAATACAGGAAAAAAGTAGAAAAATCAGCTTTTTGCAATTATAGAAATATTTGATTCAAGCTAGAATCATTAATGTTCATTATGGTTTGAATCTGAAATGTCCCCTGGAAGGTTCATGTGTTAAAGAGTTGATTGTCTGCTGATGGGGTCTGGGGAAATGACTGGATCATGAGGGCGTGGCTTCTCAGTGGGTTCATCCACTGAGGAATACATGATTTGACAATGTTTCTGGGCAGGGATGGAGGAAGCGGGGCAAAGAGATATGATTTTGAAATGTATATCCTGCCGTCCTCCCTTCCTTTCTCAGTCTCTCTCTGCTTCCTGTCTGGCTCCTCTCTGCCTTGTCCTCCCATCACACTGTTCTGCCTCGCCACAAGCCAGTGAAGAGTGGAGCCAATGACCCTGGAAACCCTGGAAACGGTGAGTCCTTACTGCTGTTTTTCTCAGCATGTGTCACACAGACGTGACTTACACAGCTGGGAAGGTTGTTAGGTGATGTGATGGGAAACAGAATACTACATAATCTCAAACTACCTTCCTACAAAATGCTTATTAATTACTTATAAATCGATAAGTGGGAAATGCTGATTAGATAATTGTAGTGAAACTCACATGTGCCATCTTAACCTAAGGATGGACGTTAACGTGACAGAGCTGGAGTGGTGACTCAGTGCCTATGAACACTTGCTCTTCCTCCTCCAGAGGATCCCATTCCCGGCATTCACACAGTGGCTCACAATGGGCTGTAACTTCAGTTCTACAGCATCTGGTTACCCTTTGCTGCTTCCTTGGGCACCAGACACACAGACACTGATGCAGACAAAACACCCACACATAGAAAACAAAAATAAATCTTTTTTTTTAAGTCAGTATCAGGCCAGGTGTGGTAGCACATACACCTTTAATCCCAGCCCTTGGAAACAGAGGCAGGCGGAGCTCTGTGAGTTTGAGGCCAGCCTGCTCTACATAGTGAGTTCCAGGACAACCAGGTTATGTGAGACCCTGACTCAAAATCAACAAATAGATATAAAAACTCAGCATCACTAGTAGTGGGGCAAGTTGAACACATGTATCCTGGCAACCTCAGTGAGGGGCACTGCTTCACTTCCTCTGAACTACACAGATTCAGAAAAACTCAAATTGAGGGACAAAGAACAAAAGAGCCAGCCTGTAATCTTCAGAAGTGTCAAGGTCACCAAAGTGAAGATTGAGGAACTGCCAGGGACTGAAGGCGGCTGAAGATACTTGACAACTAAATCAAGAAGTGATCAAAGGTGAACCTCTCCATGGAGAGGCCATCGTAGTGGAATTGGAAAGGGGTCAATGGAATAGATATTGTTAGGAACACAGTGACAGTGTCTTGACTTCATTTGCTCTCAAATGGTCCCCCAGCTGCCCCTTCCCATGTCTGCTCTGTGAAATACTCCTAGAGACGTATGCGACAGAAAGAAGCGCTCGTGCCCACAACGATCTTTTAGGAGGATATTCTAAAGCAGCTTTGCCTGTCACGGCCCCCAAGGTCTACCTGTGCTGCTATACTCTGGCTGCCCTAACAGAACGCCACAGGCTTAAACAGCAGACTGCTTGTTCTCATGGTTCTGGAGGCTCAAGTCCAAGATCAAAGGGCAACTTAGTTTCTGATGGCACCTTTCTTCCTGGCCAAGTCTGTGGTGTGATGTTTTTTGTTCTTATTACTCTTAAGGGGCCCTCCAACCACCTCCCAAATAAATCACACATGGAGAATTATTCTTACTTATTAATGCCCAGTCTTAGCTTGGCTTGTTTTTTTCCAGCTTTTCTGACTTAAATTATCCCGACTACCTTTTGCCTCTGGACTTTTTCGTTTTCTTACTTGTGTATATCTTGCTTTCACTCTTACCCTGTGGCTGGCTGGCCCCTGATGCACTCCTCCTCTAGTTCTCTTGTTCCTTTTTCTCTTTCAGATCTCTCCTTCTATTTATCCTCCCTGCCTGTCAGCCCCGTCTATCCTTGCTCTTGCCTTGCTGTTGGTCATTCAGCTCTTTATTTAAGACCATTAGGTGTTTTAGACAGGCAAAGAATCACAGCTTCACAGAGTTAAACAAATGCAACATAAACAAAAGTTACACACCTTAAAATAATATTCCCCAAGACAAGTCACGGCTGCCTCTTAACGGGTCTTCATGGGGCCTTAAGTCTGGGCGTGTGCACCCTGGGTCTTTTCCTCTTCTCAGATCTTCACTCACTTATGATCATGACCTTTGACCTTAATAAATTCCTTAAACGCCTGTCTCCAACAGATTGAGTAGTAGGACTCAAATACCTGTTGACAGTGGACTTTCGTGAACAGTGGTGTTCTATACAAGGGACTGCTATACCGCAAGGAGCTGGAATGAACTAAGAGTCTTGCCAGACATGGGTAAGGTTTCCCACAGATTCCTGAGCCAAGAATCCAGACCAAATAAAAACCCCAAATACCATATGATTTCACTGATATGCACATGACCAGAGTTTTTAAGGCTATAGTGTGGTCCCCCACAGCCTTTACAAGCTAGTCTTGGCCACTCATTCTAAATACATCAATTAAAGAGACAAATAACAGGGAAAAGCGAAGAGAGATTTATTCAGTGTGGCCACACTGGTAAAAGGGGGAACACATAAAGAGGTGCAGTCATCCCTAAGTTCTGACATGAGGGTTAGGTTTAAATAGAGGGAGAGAGGTACGCATAGCTAAGCTGTCCGGCTCAAGGTGTGGTATGGGCCATGTTGACCCTTCCTTGTCCCTGCTCCAGCCTTTCCTGAAAGGTAATCTGGGAAGTGATCACAACTGCATGGAATCTCTTACTGGGAGACAGGTTCCTCCCCTGGCTGCCACCAGGCTCCAGTCCCTTCCCTTCCCCAAGCATGAACTTCCTGGGGGAATTCTAACTCCTTGGGGACCTTTGTTTCAATAAGCCAAGGCAGTGACTCTGAGGGTTGTGAGCGGCTGAGTCATCCAGGAAGGCTCCCTGGAGGAAGGGCCCGTTTTCACCCATTTCTCACAGATAAGACACTTTGGGGCACTTCGGGATCATCCTTACACTATCCCCGCACACCTCATTCATGCCCTCATCACAGTTACAGACCAGCGAGGCCACGGAAGGTGTCTCTCCTGGGGAGGTGGGCTGGACCTGACTCTAGAGGCTACTTTAGCTATAAAGCATCAGCTCCTCACTGAGACCCACAAGGAAGCTAAAAGCAGGTGGAAGGCTGGCATTCCGGCCCCCAGTCTGTGTCTGTCTCCTTCATTGTGGCTCAGATTTCTGCTCGACTCTGCAGGCATGATGCCCATTAGCCTATCCTATCCCTCTTCAAGGTTGAAGACTCAGAGTCCTTGTCCTGATCCTGCAGTCACCTTGGGTTCCAGGAGCAGCACAGCACCTTAGGTCTCGACAGTCACCCTGATGATGAGGCTACACCCTGGAGCAGACCATCTGTGGACACCAGATTGCTCCCGTCTCCCCTGACAGTCATTCGCAACTCCTCAACTTCTTGTGCGACCGCCTTGCAGGATCTGAGCTGAGACGACGATGAATGAGGAGCCCCCTTGAGATTGCTTAAGGATACACGCCTCTTGTTCTCTGTACCAGTTCTTCCTCTACAGAGTCCTAAAGCTCATATCTGTACCCGCGCCAAAGAACTAGGGGGAAAATAGACCCCTTAATATTTCTCTTTCCAGTTCATGGTAATTAACTCCTCTTTTTCCGCTTTTCACCATGCTTTGTCTGTGTGTGCATGTGTGTGTGTGTGTCTGTTTGTGAGTGCACGTGTGTATGTGTGTGTGCATACATGTATGTGTGCATGTGTGTGTGCATGTGCATGCCTGCATGAGAGAGAGAAAGCTTCCACCTAACCTGTGACTGCCACACCCACACTGCAAGGCCCCCACCTGGCACTCCAGTCTCAGATTCGAGTGTAATAGGATGGTGCGTGAACACACACATGGGAGGCCCTGAGGACAACCTCGGGCGTCATTCCTCAAGTATCAAAAACTGCTTTAATTAATTAATTAAGGATAGGTTAGCTAGGCTGACTAGCCAGAGTGCCCCAGGAATCTGCCCATCTCTACCTCCCCAATGCTGAGATTACAAATGTAGGTAACCACACCAGGATTTTAAATTTTAATTTAAAATTCTTATTTTAGACAAGCTCTAAATACTTAGTCCTGGTTAGCCTGGAACTCGCTATGTAGACCAGGATGGCCTCAAACTCACTGCCTGTACCACCACACTCAGCTTTGGGCTTTTCTCATAAGGGATCTGGGAACTGAACTCAGGTTCTTGTTTTCACAAGGCAAGCAATTCAGCAACTAAGCCATCTCCCCAGGCCGCTCGTCTCTTGTCTTCTTAGTCTTGGCCTTTAAGAGCGGCAGCATCTCTCCAGCTAGAAGCCTGTGGGTTTTGTTTTCTGTTTGACTGAGTTTATGGCCCTCTAATGAGCATTAGTAAGACTGTGTATTCAGCGAATCCCTTGGGAAGTAGCCTTTATTATATATAGTATCAACCTTCTTAGTGCTTACGAATTTTTTTTTTAATTTTGTTTTACTATGGGGGAGGTGCACATGCACCATGGTGTGTATGTGGGTGTCTGAGGACAACCTGTGGGCGTAGGTTCTTTCCCTCCTCCATGTGAGTTGCAAGGATTGAACTCAAGTCCTTGGACTTAGACGAAGATGCTCTTTGCCTGCAGAGCCATCTCGCTGGCCCCAGGCATGGTGGCTTTGGGAGACACAGTCAGAGGGACAAGAACATAGACAACCCAGAAAATGCATCCTAGTCACTATCTATGTCTTCTGGCCAGAAGGAAGATAGCTAATAAACTCCCTTCCAGTAAAATGCTGACAGCCAGAGCTAAGGACACCTGAGCAGAAACAGCTGACAGCCACAGGCATTCCCAGAGAAGACCCTGTCAGGGTCAGGAAGCTTCTCTCCTGCAAACATGAAAGCCCAGGGCTGTGTTCACCTGTGCATGTGTGTGAGTGGACAAGAGCAGAGCTGTTTAGCGTGTCACTAGAGGAAAGCAGAGGTGAGCACAAAAACAGGTCCACACCAGGGCTTGCTAAAAGCTTCTATAGGCCTGGGCCAGCAAGATGGCTTAGTGTGTAAAGACACTTGCAGCCAAGCTTGACAACCTGAGATCCCTGGGATTCGCACAATGGCAAGAAGGAGCTAACTCTCAAAACTTTGACCTCCGTACACATGCTCTGCTACACACACTCACTCTCTCTCTCTCTCTCTCTCTCTCTCTCTCTCTCTCTCTCTCTCTCTCTCCAGCTCTTTAAAATTTAAGTAGTGTTTATAAGGGCTGGGGTGTAGCTCAGTGGTAGGGTTTGCTTAATATGTGTAAGGCCCCAGAAAACAGGGCCTGGAGAGACAGCTCAGTGGTTAAGAGCATATTTGCTTTTTTCTTTTTTTTCCCTTTCTCTCTCTCTCTCTCTCTCTCTCTCTCTCTCTCTCTCTCTCTCTTTCTTTTGGTATTTTGAGACAGGGATTTTTCTGTGTAGCCTTAGCTGTCCTGGAACTCACTCTGTAGACCAGGCTGGCCTCAAACTCAGAGAGATCTGCCTGCCTCTGCCTCCTGAGTGCTGAAATTAAAGGTGTGCACCACCACCACCACCCAGCAAGAGCACTTGCTCTTACAAAGGACTTGAGTTTGATTCTCAGCACCCCCATGGCAGCTTACAATGATCCATATTTCCAGTTCCAGAGGAACTAACACCCTCCTCTGACCTCTGAGGACACCAGACACGTACATGGTGCATAGACAAATATTCAAGCCAAACACTCACGCACATAAAGTAAAACAAAATAAATGATTTGTTAAAACAAAAATAACGAGTTAATTAATTTTAAAATATCTATATTGGCCTTATTTATTTATTTATTTTATTTGTTTGTTTTTGTGACAGGGTCTCTCTCTGTAGTTCTGGCTGTACTGGAGCTAACTATGTAGATCAAGATGGCCTCAAACTCACAATCCTCTCCTGCCTCTGCCTCCTGTGTGCTGAGATTAATGGTGTGCTCTACTATACCCAGTTTTAGCCTTATTTAAAACGACCAAACCATGGAGGCAACCCTGATGAACAACAGCAGGAGCCTGGACAAACTATGGGCAGCCACACAGAACTATGTGACACTGTGCAGAAAGGGGCTGGGTCCATGCCCTTGGCAGGACATGGGTGTGAACCCAGGAAGCTAAGACATAACACCAACCAATGTGAAGTTGGCCTCTGATTCTTGCTGGGGCTGATGGGTAATATGGGTCAGGAGTTGAGTAAGGTATCTGGGGTCTGGGTGATTGGCTGAGGGCAGAGATGGGCACTGGCCATTCACCAGCCACCTGAAGGGAAGCAGAGGGACACTGTCACCAGGAGCTTGGGGCTTACTCAGTGTGGTCAGTTCTAGTTTGCTTTCTATTGCGATAAAATACTCTGACCAAGGACTGGAGAGACGGCTCGGCAGTTTAAAAGCACTTGCTGGTTCTGCAGAGGGCCAGGGTTCAGTTCCCAGGAGCTGCAAATCAGCTCACAAGTGTCAGTGACTCCAGTTCTAGGGGCCCAACTCCTTCTCCTGGCCTCTGCCAGGCTCCAAGCATTCATGGGGTACACTCATATACATAATGGCAAAACACTCACACATAAAATAAGATCTTAAAAAAACAAACTCTGACAGAGAGCAACGTAGGGGAGAAGGGTTTGTTTGTTTTTGTTTTTTGTTTTTTAATCTTACACTTTCAGGTCATAGAGGGGAGTCTGGTGGGAACCTAGAGGCAGAAACTGAAGCAAAAGTCAGAGAGGAACGCTACTTACTGTCTTGCTCCCTGGCTCATGGTCAGGTCTTACAAAGCACAGGCCCACAGGCTAGGGGATGGAAACGCCCACAGTGGGCTGGACCCTCCTATATTCATCCCCCATCAAGAAAATGTCCACAAGCCGATCTGATGCAAGTAGTTCCTCCACTGAGGAGCTACAGCCAAGACTAGTCACCACAGGATGGGATTATATTTCTTGAGTAAGGGACCTTAGTACTCTAGAGAGGCTTGGTTCAGGGGTGATGCCATCCAAACTAAGCTAGCCGCCAACCTGGAAGACCTGACCCTGTCTCTCATTTGAACTCCCTTCTGTAGGGACTCAAAAGACTTTTCTACCACCATGAACCCTCCCAAAGTCAAACCAAAAGATAGCTCAAATGTTGTTGGGGGTCAGCTGCTCAACCTAACACCCTTAGAAGGACTTAACTCCAGAAACATGGTCTCTGGTGAGAGAGGCCTGGACTGGGGATGGGCAGAGAGTTTCCATACTCCACCGTGAAGTCTGGCTTCACCGTGGAGCCAGCAGCAGTAGAACTAAGAGACTGTAGACTGAAGGCTCTGAAACTGAGGACCAAAGTAAACCTTTCCAGCCTGAAGGGGATTCCCTAGGGCTTTGTCGCAGCCATGGAAAGCTGTACAGCAACTCTATTAGGGAGTTACTGTCCTCACTTTACAGGTTGAAGAAACTGAGGCCTGGGCAAGCAGAGGTTCTCTCTCTCTCTCTCTCTCTCTCTCTCTCTCTCTCTCTCTCGCTCTCGCTCTCGCTCTCGCTCTCGCTCTTATCCGAAAAAGTCTGGAATGTTTGATTGGGGAGTTTTACCCCAGCCCCCTCGCATCCATCTTGAAATGTTGGATGGAAAGTTCCGTTTCAGAGCTCCTTCCCCTGGGAGTGCCTCAGTCCAAACTCCACCTCCAAGAAAGCCCCCCAAACGGTGACCCCTTCCCAGGGAGGGTCAAGACCACTCTCACTATTAAACTATTTAAACTGCCCCCCAGAGAATGAACACATGGTCTCCCAGTTTTCGGTGGTCATTTTGGTTCTCCTTTCCCCCTCTCAGTGTTTCCCCGGAGCAGGGGCACCTGGGAGCGCTGGCACCCATTAAACCTGGCATCTTCTAATTCAGTCTAATCTGGTTTGATATGGATTGTTGTGTCAGAGGAGAGGTTTGTTGGTCAGAAAAAACTTAACAGGGGTTGGTTCTCTTTTTCTACCAAATAGGTTCCAGAGATCTAACTCAGGTTCTCTGTCTTGGCGGCAAGCACATGTACCCCCGAGCCATCTCTCCACCAAGCCTGGGCTCTTCCTGTGAGCCAGGCAAGGGGAGTGAGCCTCATTGGAGGGGGATGAAGGATCTGGCTCTAGGGCCCACTGTTCCACACAGCTCTGAGGCTCCCAGTGTTCCCCACCTTCTCTCCCCATGCTTCCCCAGTTGTTCAGGCCCAACCAGAAACTGCAGGATTACACTCGAATTTGTCAACAGTGAAGGAAATTGTGCTCAAATTTGATACACAGTTTTTTTGCATTGTCTTCTGCTTCCAAAAGAGACCAAGTGTGACACCCATTAGCAGCGTTTGTGCCATCAAATCTCCAAAATGATGACGTATCATTCCCACCTCTGTCCCAGTCAGGGACGCTGGGCACATTTGACGCAGAGGGTCAGGTGCGTTCTGGAGCTAGTCACTAGCCATCTGCTACAAGCCTTGCACTAAGCTAGAGCTGGGGAACACAGAAGTGAGTGAAACCTACCTGGACCCCCAAGATGCTCAGAGCCTACAGAGAAGCAGGCAATCTAAGGATTAGGAGGTTACTAATCAGGCTCAGGATAATCCGGGATTAACTCCTCAGAAGCAGAGGCTCCCGTGGATGATGCAGGGACTTGGGGCCTTCAAGGGATGGATACATAGTCTACTGGAATGAAGGTAGGCACTGATGGGGGGTGATTAAAGTCAGGGCAAAGGATACTGGAGTGCCCTAACCATGTCGGGGTGGGGGAACAGGGTGAGGGTGGGGGAGGCATGATCCCCTCCAGTCACTTCCTGCTTGATCTGTGGATCTGTGGCAGCCTGGTCTGCCTTGCTAGCACAATCCTTGTTTCTCTGTCTATATTCTACCCCACTGATATACACCCTTAGCTGGTGGCTCCCCGCCATGCACAGCCACCTCACTTCCAGGCCTCTGCTCGCGCAGACCTCTCTTCCAGCAGTGCTCCTGCTCAACTGCTGAGTGCTGGGCTCTGCCTTCCTCTCCTCACAGAACCTCACCCCACCACCCGCACCCGGCAGGAGTCTCTCTCACATCATGGCTCAGAAGGCTAGAGCACTTGCTGCGCAAGCCTGACAGCCTGAGTTGGATCCCAGAAGAGAATCAATCCCTGCAGGCTGTCCTCTGACTTCTACACACAAGCACCATAGAACACGTGTGTGCATGTGTGTGTGCGTGCGCGTGCATAGTGTGTGTGCATGCACTCACACAGACACATAGATATACGCACATGTACACT